AGGGTCTCTAGTGTACTTCCTATATTTGGTCTCCCAGACCAGTATGATAGAGAAAACTTGATAGTTTTCTCTAACTCTCAAGACTTTGAGCCAGGTCCAAGTCTCAAGTTACTGGGTGATATCTCAGAGGATTGCTTCGAAGATCACACGCTATTAATGGATGAAAATATCCTTCAAAAGATGTGAATGGCTTTAAAATTTATTATTAAAGTTCTGTCTCTGATCCCCCCCCCCCACCAAAAGATGACCCATTTGAACCCTCTGGAAAAAGCACCTAAATAAATAGATAGTGTAATGTAGGTAAAACAGTTTAGCAAAATCTCAACATGACCTGGATTTGAACTGTGGATTCATTTCTTGAATGTATGTGACTTGATCTAGCCATGTCACCTTACTTGGCTTCCGATTTTTGTCATTTGCAAACTGGGAATAAGCCAATAACGCTGGCCTCCCAGGATAATTATAAGGACTCCCACAGGGAACGCGTTAAGGAAGTAGTGCTTGGCATAAGGCGTTTAGAGCAAATTACACTATTATTAAGTTCTTACTTCTTGTCATCTGCATCTAGCTTAACCTGCATAGCTCTAGGCAGCAAGGCAGGAAAGGACATTTAATCTCAGTCGTACAGGTGAACTTTAGGGATTGAAATGAGCAGTACTGGGTGAAACGGGAAGGGATGTGCGAGTTGTTTTAACATTAACTTGAGCTTTTACTTGGACACCATTTTTACAATTGCTTCTTAACTTTTGGTTCAGCACCTCCTTGATCCAGGATCTGTTAAAATAAATGTCAAGTAAGGGTGGTGATGAGAGTCTGGCTGTTGGTTTCAGTACACTGATCTGAAACTGCAGCCTCTTTCCTCCTTCCTAGATAGAAAGCAGGAAGACAGAGAGTGAAAACACCACACACAAAATGAAATAACCCAGGAGTTGTCTACTAGGCTCATTGTGTCTGTGAAAAAGAAGACAGGATACAAACCCAAATTCTGTAGCCTTAGGCAGATTTCTCAACTTTTCTGCATCTCTAGATTCCTCTATGATGAAGATAAACTAAAATTAACACAAAAACCACTTAGAGCAGTACCTGTTACATGGCAAGAATACAATAGATAGAAGTACTCAATTTTAACTAATTAAAAATGTTTTTGTTTGTACATGCATAGAATAGCCCTCCTCAAGGTACACGATTTACTAGGCACAGTGTAACTGCTTCTTTAAGTGAGAATGGGGTCTAAGAGCTGGAGAAAGAGGGAAGACTTACTATTTGGTTTATGTCTTTTTGCACTGCTAAAAATTTTACTGCATATATACATTTTTTTCCATAAAAAGACAAGAACTGTTATGAATAGTGCAAAAAAATCCCTTTGTCTGAATTGTCACCATATTTTTCATCATCTCTCTTTGTCTGCCTTTTGGGGATACTAGGAAATTCTTCTCCAACCTTAAATTTGTCTTCTAGCAGAGGTGTCAGAGCCCCTTGGATTGCTTTTGTATATACCTGACAGTCTAAGAATGTTCTTTGCACTTTAAAGGACTCCTGATATAAAAAGAATATGCTGCAAGTATTTACTATCTGGTCCTCTATTGAGGAAGTTTCTCTAGGGCACATGTTTTACAAACTCCCATCGTAACCACTTGGGGGGTGTGGTCAGAGCAGGGGACAGTGACTATTGGGGACCTGACATTAGACCTGGCACAGAGCTGGCGCTCAATTAGGACACTGATGCTTCCTTTTAGTCTCTGATCTATTTTAATAATAAAAGATCGCCCCTTGAGTAACTGCTCCTTGTCTAAGCAAGCACAGTAGGCCTCCTTATTATGGTTCAAACCTGCTTTCTTCGTTTTTGTCAAGATGGTTACATTCCGCGGAAGGGCAGGATGGGCGAGTAATACTAATAATAACCACTAGATGGAGCGATAGCTCTGTCAAATAAGCTCAGAAAGTGCCGCACAGCAGGACGGGCTGTCTCCTGATTCCTGCATTTTTCCGGTCCTGGCAGACAGGCCTCAGTGGCACTTGGCTGTGCCGTGTACCTGCTGGTGACTGCTGGAAAACAATCTTAAGTCTCAGTCTGCGTAGCTGCGAAATGTAGAGTGTTCTAACGTTCAATGGAAAGATGCTGCGAATGTCAAATAAGATAAAACTTGGAGAAGAAACTGACACCTCTGGAATACAGTACAAATCCAAGTTAATGTAATGCCCGGAAGCCACATCATCACAGCCATTCCTTGGGCACCACGGCAAGGGTTCAATAACTCTTCCTGTGTTGTAGCTGGGGGCCAGGGGGAGTGCAGGGGAATTTACCAGGTGTAGGAGGTGTCACCTGGACATGGGGGGAGGAGGGACAGGTGGCGCAGAAGGAGTGAGAGGTGACCATTAGGCAGAAGTAACACACTCTGGTCTAGTGTCAGGCCCTCAGTAGTCACTGTCCCCTATTCCGGTGTGCTATTATTGCACAGCGGGGTGACTATAGAGAACAAAAATGTACCATATCTTTCAAAAAGCTAGAAGCAAGAATTTTGAATGTTTCCGCCGTAAAGCAATGATAAAAGATGAGCTATGGATGGCCAGGATTTGTGAGGCCATGAGTGCCACCACCAGCTCTACAACAAACGAAAAGAAAACCGAAGCGTGTGAGGAGACGGATGCGGCTACCACGATCTGAACACCACGCAATGTATCTCGGCGTAGAAACGTCACAGGGCACCACCACGAACATGCAAAAACTTCACCTTTTATGCATCACTTATGTAAATTTAGTTTAAATTAAAGAAAAAGAAGGCAATGCACAATTTGGAGCCTCCATCTCTTCATCTGCAGCACAGGGAGAAGGTCAGAGCCTGGCCTGGCAGGGTGTGAGTGTCACAGGGTTGGGGCGAGGCAGCCCGTTGATGAACGCCCCACCGCCAGTGCGCTCCTTGATATATTTTGTGGTTCCATCATCAAAGACCTCTTTCTCTTTCCTCTTCTTGCCTCTCCTTGTTTTTCTTACCTTAACCATCCTGACCCATCACATTTCTATGTCCAGCGCAGTCCTCTCTCCTGAACTCTACATTCCTCCATTCCATGGTCCCCCAGGCATCTCCAGTTCAATAAATTCAAACACAATTCCTCACCATGTCATTATGTGCTTTCTTTTCTCTCTCTCTTCGTGGTACATTAAAAACAGCACCCTCTGCTGGTGGGGATTCCGGATACTGTTGCTCCCTCCCAGCTTATAATCCCCCACGCCAAACTCTGCTGCTCCTGTTGATTAAAACTCCTTTCAATGTGGTTTTTTCACCCCTATCTTCCCTGCCATTGCCCCCCACAAATCATAGCTTCAGTCTCATCTTACTTCTCTACTCCCTGCCTTTCCCTCACCTGGTAGCCATTGCCCCCTGAAAGCAGATCTCATTGTTCCCTGGTTCCAAATCCTGCTATGACTCCCTATTGCTGGTAGGATGAAGTACAAACTTCACAGCATGACTGTTGAAACATCTAAAAATTTGGCTTCTGTCTGCCCCCACAGCCTCCTTTCTGCCCTCCTCTGTCCTGTACTTCTAATCTGAAACACAGTCCAGTTGGCTACTCATCTGAAAAATCAAGCTGCTCATTCAGGACATCTCCACATCTGCAGAGATTGTGTGGTAGTAGTTGCGCTAGCTTTGACTTCTGGTTCCTACTAAACTCTTTACTGTATTTAGACTCTGAGTCCTTGAGCCCTTTCTTTGCCCCCAAATAGACTCAGATGTGGAATGTGGCTCTTGTCCTTTACTTCCCTGGGACATTGCTTCCAGAGGACGCTTGGGTCTGTAGCAGAAGTTACCGGAGGGCTAAGCAGTGATGTGACGCGGTTGGTTTGACTTTAGTTCTTAAGAAATCCTTCAGTCAGCCCCAGCCTGGGAATTCTTCCTTCATTAGTTTCTCCCATGGGTTTTCTCACTTTCCTGTTACTTAGTCACCTGTTCCCCCTTCTCCCTCTCATTCTTTCCTTGTTCTCGTCCTTTCTCTCCGTCCTCCTCCTCTTTTGTCTTTCTCCTGTCTTTGCTGCTCCCTTACAAACTCCTATTGAATAAAAGCGTGTGTTTCTGAATTTTGACATCTCCTTAGAGACTATATCTCTCTCATCTTTGCACACCAGTAGCTTGTCAAGGTAGCGTGTAAGACCTAGGGTACCTACATGGAGAGATGTGTGACTTTACATAATCCCTCCGTCTCCCCGTCACATTTTGCTGAGGAGTGCACACGTAAACTCTGTGAGAGCAGGGATCTTGGCTGACCTGTGCATTGCTGTACCCTCAGCATCTAGAATTTGTTTGGGGGCATACTGGGTTCTTGTTAAATGTTCACTGAATGAATAAGCACGTGAGTGAATAAGTGAGTGTACAAGTGTGATGCTGCTTACACTGGATAATAATTATGACTCAACTCTTCTCCCCACTTCTGGATTTTCATGGAGAGACATTGAAACCCGGCCTACATGGATGCTATAATCCTGAGGTAATGCAAAACAAGTGCAGCTGTCCATTGTCCATTCCGCTCAGCTATCATTGAGAGAATTAAAATATCTACAGTTCCTAGCTTATTGAGAATGTAGATGAGTCTGGGATCAAGATGAGAGAAGAAGTTATAAAGCAATGAGCTTCCACATATTCACAGATGACAGGAAGATGAGCTTCCTGTCCAAGACCACTAGAAAATATGTAAGGATTCTTGTGGCTAAGATCTTCTTGCACACTACTGCCTTGTTGGAGAATGCCACTCATCCATCCATCCATCCATCCATCTATCCATCCACAACAGTTTTTACAATGTTGAGAAATATATCCTAGTTCCAACTGTGTGAAGTGGGGATATCACTGACACTCACTTAACCAAATTATTGTGAGATGTAAATAATATTCTATAGGCAAAGCCTGCAGGACTGGCTCAGTTACATAATAAAAGCTCAATAAGTGATAAATATGGCCATTACTAGAATCTGAACACCATAGCTTCAACTCATTCTCAGCCAGATATTAAACATTCATCTCAATTTTATTATTCAGAATGCACGGAAAAGAAATGGGTGAAGGAATCTGGAGAAGCAGGCAGAGTCAGGCTGCAGCAATCAGCAGAGACCGGGAGGTTGAGGCAGGGCTGTGGGGTGGAGGAGAGAGCCACTCCGGAGTCTCTCTCTAGAATGTTTCCCGGAGTCAGTCTCCAGTTGATCTTACTGCATCATAACAAGCCTCAAGAAGAGTAGGCAGGAAGCAAGAACAGGTGGGACCCAGGAATGTGCTGTTGGCTTCCCTCCTCCACTGGGACAGCTGGTTGACCCAGGCCCAGACTACGGCGGGGTACTGCGTGATCGGATGGTCATACTGATCCGCCCTTGCAACCAGGTGATGTAATCCTCTCGAGGCATATGAATGATGTGTTCTCGCACAAACTGTGGGTTAAATACAGTGGCAATCTCAGAATTTAGTTTGAAGGGTAGCTTCCATCCTCACTCGCCTCCCCTCAAGATCCTGGAAGATTTGGGATTGAGACTCGTGGACCCCTGATAATTCAGGGTCAACTGTCATCAGGCTGAGCTGGTCGGTTTGGGAAAAGGGACCAGTTTCTTGGGCAATTTTAAGCTTCTCCTCATTGCTATTTGAGCAGGGCAGGACAATTCAGCTAAATGCGTTTCTTTTCATTTCTACATCTCAATCTCTTTTTAAAAAGCCGTTTGTCCATAGATCTCTTTGAAAATGGATGATGGCTCTGGGCTTGCGTTCCAGGAAAGAGTTTAAAACACATAAAGTGTATTGTTTCCTATAGATTCTAGATTCAGAGACCCCCACGTCCAGCTTATCAGAAGTTCTGTAATGTTCCCCCGGGGAGGAGAGTGCCGAGTTTTATTACTCAGGGCCAAGAATGTACCTCAAAGAAAGGGGAAGCTTCTGTATCCCTTTTCTCTTACCCATCCAGGACCACTTCCTCTCTGCACTCTTGCAAGGGGCAGGTACAAGTAGAAACCCACAACCGGCCAGTGCGAGGTGGAAGGTACCCTCGAGTTAGTGTTGACTTATCCTGCGAGCGTCTTTCCTGAAAGAGCCTCATAGGATAAGGGGAGTCGATTCTGGACCTTGGAATTTGTTACAGGGTCACCTCCTGCCCTCATTTCTGGCCTTGATCCTACACACACAATCCAAGTCACCCTGTGGAAGGGCCAATCTGGTATGAAATGGCCAAGATCCCCAAAGTCTGTCCAGCTGGAAAAATCCACCACTGGAGTCATTTCTTTCTTTGCAGACTTTGAAGACCTGATTAAAGGCACATATGACATTTGATAAAGTCAAGGAAGCGCATAAGCACCTGTTAATCCCTGCTGTGGCGTCCTTACTACTGATGACTTTGATGCCCTAAAGAAGTAGAGCTCCAGCAACTTCTGGAAGTGATGGCAATGACAACTGAAAGCCATGCAATGACTGCTCAGCACCTTTGAGATAGAGACCTAAATCTTTACCCTGACTTTCTTGGTCTGCATAGAACGACCTCTCCAGCGCTCTTGGCACCATGCACCCCCTTGCTAGCTCCCTGCCACACCCATTGATTGCCTAATGAGTTCCCCCAGCAAGTCAGGTCCTGTCCTGCTTTGGGGCTTTTGCTGCTCTTCCTGACCTGCTGTCTCCTTCTCTCTATGGTGCTGTCTTCCCATCCTCTGATCTCAGTTTAAAAATTACGTTCCAGCTGGAAGTGGCAGTGTATTTGTGTAATTCCGGTACTATGGGAGACTGAGGCAGGAGGACTGCAAATTCAAGCCCCATCTGGGCAATCTGACAACTTAGAGAGACACTGTCTTTAAAAAAGGCATCAAAGGGCCTGGGGATGTAGCTCAGTGCAAAGGCCCTGGGTTCAATCCCCAGCACTGCAAAAACAGACAAATTAAAATAACAAACAACAAAAAAACCCTTCCCCAGTTGCCCTAGCAACTAGGTATCTTGTTAATTTACTTCAGACCAGAGCATTTCAAATTTTATTATGCATGCAACACACCTGGGATCCCATTGAAATGCGAATTCTGAACTGGCAGATACAGTCTGGAGCCTGAGATTGTGCCTTTCACACATCACTTGGGTGGGGGTCCCTGCTGCTGCTCCATGGACCATGCCTTTCAGAGCCAGCTTTGCAGAGCTCCTTATGATTGTCTATTTCTTTGTCTTTTTCCAAAGCCTCTTAGCCTCCAAAGGGCACCATTTACATAGAATCTAACATTCCTTGGACTTGGAGTTGAACAACCAAGGTCACGTAGGACTCTTCCTATTAAATTCAGAGCACCATGGTGTGGGGCCTCTCTGTCTTTTGGGTGTGATGCTTCCATTTTCACAACAATGGCTGGATCTTGGGAAATGACTGAAAAAGAGCACTCCAGGCACTGTGAGCGGGAGGGGATGGTGGTTACCTCGATAGCCACAGCGATGTCTGGAGAGCACAGTTCCCAGACCCTCAGATCCTGCAGCACCTTCAAGAGAACATGGGGCCGGACCCTCAGGTCGAGGTTCTCCCCAAACTTCTGGAGTTTGACCAGGATCTTTTTGGCAGGGCGGTAGTTCTTCAGATCCTCAGGCAGTTTGGACAGCAGGTCAAAGTACCTTCAGTGGAAGAGCAGAGGGCCAGTTAGAGCGGAGCTGGGAGGGGAAGTCTGGTCCCCCTGAGGTCTCCTGCTCTACCTGCTCTTCCTACCACTCACGGTATACTCCAGGGCAGCCCAATCCTCTGTCTGGGGCCTTCCCTCATCTTAGACTGTTAATGGTCCCACAGATGGGGCAAATCTTTATTTTTTAGGGGTTGGAAAAGGTAGAGCTTGACTTGTATTTTATTAGAAAGTGAACGAAGGGCGTGCTTTCAAGGATAAATGTACAGATTTTATATCAATGCGAAAAGGTAGAGAAAAGGAGGGAATATCTGGATCTGAAATTTCTCTTCTGAGCATTCATCAGGCTAGGGCAGGCATGGAAAATTCCAGGGGAGGCCTTCCAGGATGCCTGAGAAGGTCACCTACCTTCCAGATGCAATGATGACAGAAGTGTGTTTGTGTGTGTGTGTGCATGGGCGTGTGTGTTTTCCATCTGATAGTGAGTACACTTGGTCCATGGCTTGTGTACTTCAGTGTTATGAAAGAGTACAGTGGTGTATATATGCATGTTTCTTTGTATAGAATGGAATCCCCATGAGAACTGGAACTTTGCCTGAGTTTTTTTTTTTTTTCCAGTACCGGGAATCGAACTCATGACCTCATGCTTGCCAGGCAGGTGCTGTGCCACTGAGCTAAATCCCCAGCCCCTGCCTGAGTGGTTCAGCATTGAGTGCTAGAACTGTGCTCATGCTCAGTAGTTACAATTTGAAAGGATGAATGAAGAGCTACAGCTCAGCATCATTGCACAGCCTAGGAAGGCTGTGGCTACTTTGATTTAATTTTACTATTACTATGGAGGGCAGTTGCACTCCCCATAATGATGCCAGAAATTCCACCTTTAGAAATGTGGGCTGAATTCAACTGTGGCAGGATTGGCATTAATTTCCCACTGTGAAACCTTTCTGTGGGTACTTTATAACTCTCATTCTCACTTCTCTACTTCCCTCCAAAAGAAGACAGAGCACTTGGGAAGGCTGAGGCAGGAGGACTGCAAGTTCGAGCCCACCCCTGGCAACTTGGTGACTTAGTGAAGCCCTGTCTCATAATTAAAAAAGGAAAAAGGGCTGGGGATGTAGCTCAATGCAATGGCCTCGGCTTCAGTCCCCAGCACTGTGAAAAGAAAGAGGGGAGAGGATTTGCAGAAGACTCACTGCCCTCAGGAGTATCCTCTTGAGAGCCTCACGTAAGCCAGCTTGTGAGAAAGTGATGCTCCAGGAGTGTGAAGTCACGGGAGGTCCCACCACTCCACTAAGCACCCTGGGACCTGGCTGTGGCACATTACTAATATCAGGGGAGGGAGTCCAGGTACATCTTTACATTTTTCCCTCTTGTTCTTACATCTTGCTCTAGTCTCCCTGCTGGTATGGGGTTTGTGATGTAACAGCTCACCAGACTCTGGTTCTTTACTGCAAGTGAGCACAGTGACTGGGGCTGGACAGGACCTCGCATCCTGAGCTCACCACTTACTAGTGGCGTGACCTTGGATATGTGAACTGACTTCTGCAAGCCTTAGTTTCCCTATCTGTGAATTGGGGGTAATATGTGCCTTTCAGGATTTAAGGGGAGGAATAAAATGTTTCATTAAATTTATTTAGGGTAGCTGGATGTAGTGGTGCATGCCTGTAATCCCAGCACTCAGGAGGCAGAGGCAGGAGGATCAGTGTGAGTTTGAGACCAGCCTGGACTACATAATGAGTTCAAGGCCAGCACAAACTACTAGCAAGACCCTGTCTTAAAAAACGAAACAAAACAGAACAAACAAAAAATAAATTTATTTAGGGTAGTAGTTCCTACCATCCAGCAGTCACTCAATTTGTTATGTTCTTCATTTTTTGAGTTGGTCTGCATTTTCTTTTCTTTCTTTCTGTAGCATGCAGGATCAAACTCGAGGTTCTGCACTTATTAGACAAGTTCTGTATCACTGAGCTTCACCTCTAGCCCAATGCATATTTTATTTCTTAAAAGCTTTATTTTACTCTCAGTTGATAGGAACTAATTGTGCATATTTAAGGGGTAAAGTGTGATATCTCAGTACATGCACGTGATATGGACTCATCCAACCAGGATACTTAGCATATCCATCAGACATTTCTTCATGGTGAGCATTCCGAATCTTCTCATTGTTTTGAAATATACAATAGAGTATTGTTAACTGTGGTCACTCTGCTGCCCAGAACACCAAAAAGTACGCTGTTTTTTGTTGTTATTTGTCTTCACCCCTCGGTGTTCCTTGGGTATGTCTGCTTGTGGTGTGTCTTTGAGGAATTGTTTGGGAAATGTAGTGATCACCTTATAGATCTCAGTATCTGCAGAAAGCTTCAGGTTGAGTTGCTTTGTCTGCTTTCCTCCTGGGGCCAACAAGTTAGTTCTTATTCATACATCAGAATCAAACATATGGTAAATAGGGAGAACATAACAAGTTAGGTTACCTATGGTTCAGAAACGGATGAGTTCTTGTCTGAGTATGCTCTGAATTTAGCCTGTTTGGTGCCCCCTCTTGGGGGGCCATGGACAGTTTGAGGGTGATGCTTTTCTGTGCCTTAAAGGACAATGGGATACCTTTTGATCTTGTAATAGTAACTCCCTACCCCCTTTCAGGACCAGCCTAGCCGGTTCTCAGGATCTTTACCAGTGGTCAGCAATTTCTTCTGCATCTCCTTTAACTGCAGAGATCTGTTGTCTCATCTTTGCTATATCCTTTTGAAAATCTGAGACGAGGCCAAAAGCATGGAACTTCTGGAGACCTCGCTCTTCTTGGCGCCTACAAAATTGTGCGAGAAAGAGGAGAATGAATTAGATTCCATCCTTTTGCCTTCCTGGTTGCCATTTGAGATCTGACTTACACATCTTTTCCTTAAGGAGGCCCTTCTTAACCCTTTCAGCTACTCTTTAATTTATGGTCTTGCGTTCAATGAAAGGTGATGTAACTCTCCATGGGTCTGAAACATTTTTCTTGTTAAACTAGCCTCTTTTTAATTGTTCCTCCTTTCTTCCTACTTTTAATTTTGTTGACATAGTTTTCTCACCTGTAAAATGGGAGATAATAATTCCTACATCTCAGAGGTACAGATTGGTTATGCTTTCTGTACAGAGTAATGAGCTTACTGTCAGGCACGGAGTAGCCATTTAACTTATGTTGGTTCCTCTTTTCCCCACCCCTGTATCATTTTGTGTGTACATCCTCTTTCCCAGGGGAATTTACATTATAAATATAACCATGCCAACCCCCTCTACACTCCGTCCACAGGCTTTCCATTTTGTCCATAGTACATAACTTTGTTTTTTTTTTCCTTCATAGTACATAACTTTGAATAACTTGTTCTTCAAGGCACCAGCCCAGTCAATTCCTCCAACATTTTTCAATTTCATCACTGTGCCCAGGATTTTATGCCTTGGCTCATCATCAGCATCTCTGAGATAAAGTTCAACCTCCACTACTGAGATAGTAAAGCTTTTTCTGACCTTGCCTCTCACTGTCTGGACACCTCGCAAGCTGGGTCCTGGCAGTTCCCTGGATCACTGTGCCCTTTCTATCCTTGGGGACTTTGCTGTTCCTTTTTCTTGGAAAAGGAAACAGCAAAGTCCTTTTCCTCGCCTTAAAGTTTCCAGTGTGACTCTTTGGGTTTGAATTCTACCTTTACTACCTAGCCACTTGGGGCACCTTTGATAAGAGGTATCTCTGAGCTCACTTTTATTCTCTATAAAATGGGTCTAGTTCTGGTGCTTACTCTATCATTTGTGAGGATCCCATGATACACAAACACAAGGCTTTCACTGTGTCTGCAAGTGGTACATGATTCCTTGGAGTATGCTGACTAACACAGTGTCCCAGAAATACCTTCTATTTTTTATTGATCTGAGAATGAGATTTCTTCCAGGAAGACTTCTGATGGCTGTCTCAGGTCAGGAAGGGTGTCCCTTTTCTGTGTTCCCTTAGTCCCCTGCTTGTTATCCTGTGGACCCCCACCCCTTGGGTAGAAACTGCCTGTTTGATTGTCCTGATGGGGTCTCCCAGAAAGAATGGTCAGGGCCAAGTCTTTTGCTACTCTTGTCCCCAGGAAGCCATTTGATCACTGAAGTAAGGGTGAGAGTACAAAGTGTCACCTTAGAGCCCTCACAGAGTGCATGACCTCATTCGGGGCAGGTGGGTTCTGCAGTCAAGGCACAGGCTGGGAAGAGGGGCAGCTCCTGGAATTTCCAGAAGGGAAAAAGGGCGCCGTGGCCTGGTGGTGTTCTTGAAATCAAGTCCCAATTATCACATGGATCGCTGTGCATGATGCAGCTCACCGCAACCCCTCACTCCTTGCCCATGTCCCTGTCAGCCTTGGGGACTTTGTAATACACTTTTCTGGCCATCTAGAAAGTCACTTCACTTTCTTATCACACCACAGGTTTCTTCTCATACTTCAGGGGCTGGGGATTTAGCTCAGTGGCAAAG